ACATTTGCATGTTTCTGAAGTATTTCACATGTAAACTACCACACTATCGTCCAATCACCACAATAACCACATGGTAATGGGGTCCCAGCTATTGCTATCTCTGTTTTACTGACAGATACTGAGTCTCAGAGGCATTAAGTAACGCCTAGCACAATCTAACAGCTAGCATCCATCTACGGCTTTGCGGTTTGCAAAGCGCTTCACAAATATTACCTCATTTGATGGTCACAACAGCCCTGGGAAGTAGGTGCTATTATTGTCCCCACTTTACAGATGACGAAACAGAGGCAAATAGAGGTTACATAACTTGTACGCGGCCACGCAGTCAGTGTCTGAATCAAGATGCCAACTCAGAGCTTCCCGACTCTATGTCCAGCAGTCTATCCATGTGTCATGTAGCCTGCCCGTGGTCACCTAACAAGAAACATGAGAAGCAGGATTTACACCCAGTTCTCCCCTGAGTCCAAGTTTAGCTCCCTTTTCACCACACACTAACTGAGCCAAACTAAGTCATGATACACATGGAACCACAGATGGCACCTCTTCACTCATTTTAAAAATATATTGCCTCAATATTTAGAATTTATTCTGCCTAGGGAATAAACCACCAATTGCTATTTGTTCCCTTTCTTGGAAATAAACATTGATTTCATTTTTTTTCATTTAAAAATCTATTTGATTGAAGCAGCTTCTTTCTATAAAACTACTTTGAGATAATTTCATTTTAATGTCATTGTTATTCCTTTAAGGCATTGCCTTTAATTGAGCTACTTTTAATTTGTTTGTTCCTCATATGATACTTGTCACTGTATTCTATTAGTATTCTGTCATCCATGCTATATAAATAATTTCTTTTTGTTCTGTTTTCCTCCAAACCTAATCACTATCAAAAACTCAACTCCTTTGTATCTCTAGAAATATCTCATTTTCTTTGAATCCAATTGTAAAATTCAAAACCTGAAAATCTGAAATTCTTAAAACGTTCACGTAACCAGAACTGTATTTGAAAATAAACTATAACAATATCCCATTTATAGTAACTGCATCTAGATTTTGATTTATATTGACACTTGGCCACACAGAGTTGGAGCTTATCTTTTTCTGAGTTTTTATGTTTGTGACAAACGGTGTTTGCTAAGAAGAGGAAAGTTGAACATAGTTTAACATATACACCATTGCTTTGAAGAGCTTATTTTAAAAGGTTCAAAGAAAGGGATCATGTGCTGACCTATAAGTAAAATATTATGAAAGCCAGCCAGCAGGGAATAGCAATTTCTCAAGAATGAAATTCTGTAGACACAAAAAGAAACACTTGTGATTAGAAGGGAAAGAGGGGAAATTGTCTCAGGAAACCAATGTAGTTGCATAGAGAATTTAACACAGTTTGATTTTTACAATATAGGTACATGAGGTAGAAATAAGGTCAAGTGATGGAGAGGGAATACAAACTGGATTCAAAGACTGACTCTAGTATACACTGGCTGTGTAGCCATAAGCAAGTCACTTATCTTTTAGGTACTTTGGGCAACTAAGACTCCATTGGAGATCAGCTGTTGATCTGTTTTTGGTAACACTGCATATTTACATTGCACTGGAATCAATTACCAAGTTTTACAGGATTATTGCTTAGGATAGTGCCGATTTGAATACATGCTACTGCTTTAGAACTTTACTATTCACGTTAATCGGGACCTAGTTGTAGTACTTTTATATAGTAGGAGCTCAATAAATTGTTTGTTGAATGGAACTGAGTAGCAACAGCAGGCTGCCCCTGCAGTCTCTGGTTAGCACTTTCCTGTCTCTTAATTTGCTAGAAAGAGTCTTGATAGCTATCAATTGCTTGGAAAATAACGGTAACTAACTTTTACATAGTGCAATAAGATTTGCAAAATGCTTTGCATGTTGTATCTCATTTGAGATTCACAGCAACCCAATGAGGCAGGTATCATATGTTTATTAATATTTTACAGATGAGGCAGCTGAAGCTGGGAGAGATAATGTGACTTGCCCATAAACATTTAGCTAGCAACTTGAAGGTAGGATCTGAGTCCAACACTCTGTTGCTTTCAAGTGCAGTCGTCTTTCCATCATAGAGTAGCTACTACAAAATAACAGTGGACAGAATAAAGTCTCAACCTGGACAAATGAAAACCTTTTTTAAAAACAGAAGAAACGTGATAGGGAAGCTGTTGGAGCAAAGGATGTCTTGCAAAAAAGTAAGAAATCCAGTAATCCCTTCCTGGAGGAACTGGCTTACATAAGATTTTACTATATCTTACAAAACCCAAGCAAACAAATGCAATCTCCCTTTCAAAATTGTAAATAAGGAATTACAACTCAGCAAACTTGAAAATGAAATATGGGAGGGGGGAAGTCATGGAAAGATGGACTATGGTGTTACCATGCAATTTCATTTACAGGTTTGTAAATGTGTCAAGACTCCAGAATAATCTTAATGTTGCTTGGATCATGCAGAATTAGAGGCAGTATTTGAATTCAGGCTTTGTTGAGCCTAGGTCCAGCACCCTACCCATTATGCAACACTGTCTTTCAAATTTCTGGTTGAACAAATAACAGAAAAGCAAGTAAAACTGGCTTTTTATGTCTTGAGTTACATTTATTATGTGCATGGGGGAGGGGAGCAATAAGTGATTACAGTTATCTTCATTTGAAGAAAAGAAAACCAAGAGCAAAAAAGTTATGTGTACTAAACTAACTCAAAATTTCTCAGAAAGCCATCAGAAAAAAATTAGACAAGAACTCCAGTCTCTGAATTTCCATCCTAGTTCAGCATTTATCTTATCACATTTTTTGTTTTCCCCCAAAATAAACTCCTCTTTCAACAAATAGCACAACCATTAAGATCAATACCCTGTCTCTCCTTAAAACATTACCTCTGAGACTTAATACAAGAAATTTAATTGTATGAGACAAACAACAATTGTTTTTGTGATTTGTTTTTTTACTCATTCAGAACAAGTAAGGCTATTGGATTTGGGGAAATATGGAAACTCATAAAACAATTGTACTTTGCTATCTAGGGCAACAGAGATGTAATTAATAAAAAATTGAAATGCTCTGCAGGCTAGCAACACCCAAAGTAATAACTACTTTATGAAAATGAGACATAGGTCCCAGAGAGGCTTGAACCAGGTTTCTGCTCTATTGATTACATTGTCAGACAACATATCTCATATCACTGAACATGTCCTATATCAGGAGATGAGAAGGAACACAAAAGGAAACATAAATTTCAGAGGAAATAGGAAAGCCCATAGACCTCTATGTAACCCCCCTGCTACCAAAAAGGTGATGTGACTTTGGATTGTCAATCCTGGTAGTTTTTGAAAAAAAGCAAAAAAATGACAAAGAGAAAAAGGAGAAAGTTGGATCTCTGCGAAGCACTTATAAGATTCCATAAAATCATGAACAACTGATTACTGAAACATCAAACTACTATTCATTACCTGCTAATGTGGGGCTACTAGAGATGGATCAATCCCGGTAACAACTTGATCTCTCATTCAGTATGCCACTTCGCTAAATCTAAAACTCAAATCATTGTCTAGTCCATTGTTTATTTCACTTCAACCACATAGAAGGTAGTGTGATAGAGTGGGAAAGAGACGTGGATATGGAGTCTGAGAAACTGGATTCAAATCCTCCTTTTTCCACTTCCTTCCTATGTAATCTTAAACAAGCCACTTCAATTTCTCTGGGTCTTAGTTTCCTCATCTGGAAAATAAACACTTTTTCTTTATGGCAATGATCATCGTAAAAAGAAAGAAGACAAAGATCACTTCTTAACAAATTTTAAATCCTGGGGTTTGATGGATGGAATCAAGATGGCAGAGTACAGGTCAGTACCCAGTGGAACTCTCCCAACATTCCTTCAAAACAAATTTAAAATAACAGCTAAAACAAACATTGGAGTGGTAGAGCCAACAAAAGGTCAGAAGGAGACATTTTTCTAGCCTAAGACAACTTAGGAGGTCTGAAGGAGAGATCTGTAACACTGAGGGAAAGGAGGAGCAAGGGAAAGTCCTAAAGTACAGCAGCAACTTTAGGAACTCTCAGCCCAGAGATGGTCAGGGGTCAGACAACTGCTCAGAAAAAGATTACAGGGGACTCTTTGTGGGCACTGGGTGTAGCTGGAACTGATTGGCAATTCTATTGCCCATAAAGAATCCTAGGTCACAGTTTCTCAGTGGATAGGAATTCTTGTGATCAGTCAAAAGGGAGCAAGGGCCCTGATCGTAGTTCTATTTCCAAAAGGAGTGTTAGCAGTTGCAGCTAAAGAGGACAGAGGCCATTCTTAGGTAAAGACCAGAGCACAACTAAAAGAGCAAGATATTACTACCTTGTAAGCACAAAGATATTACTACCTTGAAAGCACAGAAAAACTTCAGGCCCCTACAACTTAAAAAGCAAGACAAAAAAAGCTTCAAGCTAGAAATGGTACATCTCTACCCCTAGGTGAGTAGAGCCCAACTTTAACATAAAGTTCAAAATCAAGAAATAGGCTTGGAAAAAAAGCAAACAACAACAAAAAAAAAACTTAACCATAAAAGCCTATTATAGTAGCAGAGAAGAACAAGACACAAACTTAGAAGAAGACAACAATGTGAAACAGCTACAAGCAAAGCTTCAGAGAAAAATTCTATCTGGGCTCAAAGCCAACAAGAATTCCTGGAAGAGTTAAGAAAGAGATAAGAGTGGTAGAAGAAAAATTGGGAAAAGAAATGAGAGTGATGAAAGAAAATTATGAAAAGAAGATCAACGGCTTGACAAAAGAGTAATGAAAAAAATACTAAAGAAAATAACACCATAAAACAGAATTGGCCTAATGGTAAAGGAGACACAAAAATTCACTGGAAAAAAAAAAGAACTCATTTAAAAGTAAAATAGGCCAAGTGGAAAAGAGATACAAAAATTCACTGAAAAAAGAATTTCTTAAAAGCAGAATTGACCAAATGGAAAAGGAGGTACTCCATGCAGACATGTCTGAGAGTCCCAAATACATGTCCTTCTTCGCCATCATGTGTGCCTCGGCTGCCATGGTCTTCAGCACTCTTGGTATGCCTTATGGTACAGCAAAAAGTGGCACTGGTATTGCAGCCATGTCAGTCATGCAACCTGAATTGATCATGAAGTCAATCAGTCCCATCGTCATGGCTGGTGTCATCACCATCTATGGCCTTGTGGTGGCTGTTCTCATTGCCAGCTATCTGACATTGGGAATCACCCTGTTCAAGAGTTTCCTTCAGCTGAGAGCAGGTCTCAGCATAGGCCTAAGTGGGCTGGTGGCTGGCTTTGCCACTGGCATTGTAAGTAATGCTGGTGTTCAGGGGAAAGCACAGCAGCTTTGACTTTTTGAGGGGATGATCCAAATTCTAATCGTCACTGAGGTGCTTGGGCTGTATGGCCTGATTGTGGCCCTCATTCCCTCTACAAAGACCCTCTGTTCCCATTCTTTACAGTGCCACACCTTCTCCCCCCACCACTCAGCCCTTCAGCCATGGAGTATGATGCAAAGACTTGTCTTGAAGCACCGTATCCCTCCCAATTCGCTCCAGAATGAATTGCCTAACACCCAGTGCAGTGTATAGCTGGTAGTAAGACTTGTAAATGTGCATTGTCATAATGACTCTTCTGTCTGTGTCACACCACACTGGATTGTATGGTGCCTGAACTGGGCCCAGCTGAGATTGAGGCCTGCTGGGATTGGCCAGGCAGCCGGGCAATCTCCTTACCCATTTGCCTTTAGTACTCTGTGTATAAACATGACTTAGAATTGTCATTTTTCTCTTCACTGGATGTTTATTTATGAAGATTTGACATGTTCATAAAAAAAGAAAATAATTCCTTACAAATTAGAATTGGGCAAATGGAGCTAATGACTTTATGAGACATCAAGAAACAAACAAACAAAACCAAAAGAAGAGGGGAGGAGTAGTCAAGATGGTGAGTAAAGGCAGAAACACACCTGAGCTCTCTCCCAAACCCCTCCAAATCCCTTTAAATAATGGCTCCAAACAAATCCTAGGGTAACAGAACCTACAAAAAGATGGAGTGAAACAATTTTCCAGCACAAGGTAACTTAGAAGGCTGGAAGGAAGGGATTGCTGCATCAGGGTGAGAGAAGAGCTCAGTCCAGCAAAGGACACACCAGCACAGACTAGGCCCCAGCAAACCAGGACCAGGCCTCAGGGCAGCTGAATTACTGGCAGCAGTGGTGGTTTCCAGACCTTGCAAGCCACAGACCACAAACACAACTTAGAAAGTCAGCAGCAAAGTTCTGTCACATCTAGGTGAGAGTGGAGTACAGTCCATCACAGGCTGCACCAACACAGACCCAGACCTAGAAAACCTGCAGCAGGCCTTGAGAGCCATGAATCAGCAGCAGCAGTGGCTGCTTCCAGAGTTCTCAGCCTACAGAGGGTAAGGGGGTCAAATATCTTATCAGAAGGAAATTAGAGGGGTCTGTTTGCTAGTACTGAGGCAGGACTCTATTGTTTGCCCATATTCAGATTGAGGTCACACTGCTGGATGGCAGACCCAGGATGGGAAGGAGCACTAGCACACCACATCTTGCAGCAGTGGAGTAAGGACCCTCAGGACAGAAGAGGGTGCTTGTGCTCACTCACAGAACAGAGCACAGGCCAGGAGAGGAGGAAACACACCTCTCCCTAAATCATACCACCTTGGAAGAACTGAAAACTTATAGGTCCCTATAAGTATCTCTGAAAACAGGTGCACAAAACCCCTGAAGCTTAGGACAGTGCACCCTCCCCTAGGAGCAGAGCCCTACTTTAACAAAGAGTTAAAAGTCAAGAAGTAGGATAGGAAAATGAACAAACAGCAAGAAAAATTTTGAAAGTTACTATGGTGACAAAGAAGATCAAAACACACCTCAGAAGAAGATAGTAAAGTCAAAGCTCCTACATCCACACCTTCCAAGAAAAATATGAATTGGCCTCAGGCCATAAAAGAGTTCAAAAAGGATTTTGAAAATCAAGGAAGAGAGATACAGGAAGAATTAGGAAAACAAATGAGAGTGATACAAGAAAATCATGAAAAATGAGTCGATAGCTTAGTAAAGGACACACGCGCACACACACACACACACACACACACACACACACACTGAAGAAAATAACACCTTTAAAAATGGACTGGGCCAAATGGTGAGAGGTCCAAAAAAAGAATGCCTTAAAAAGCAGAATGGGGGAGGGAGGGTGGAGCCAAGATGGTGGAGTGAAAGCAGTGACCTACTTGAACTCACCCCAAACCTCTTCAAATACATATAAAAAATGGCTCAAAACAAATTCTAGAGCAGCATAACCCACAAGAAAGACAGAGTGAAACAAATTTCCAGCCCAAGACAACCTGGATGATTGAATGGAAAGATCTGTTGTGCCAGGCTGTGAAAGGGAGAGCAGTTCAGTGTGGGACATGCAGGCTGTGCGGCAAAGACCAGGCTTCAGCGAACCTGGAGCAGTCCTCAGGGGATTGAATCAAGGGGAGCTGTGGCAGTTTCCAAACTTCTCCACCCACAAACACTAAAGACAACTTAGAAGGTCAGTAGGAAAGGTCTGTCCAGTGGTGAGAGATGAGTAAGGTCTGGCTGCAATCTAACACAGCCCTGGTGCAGAGGCTGCTTCCAGAGCTTGTGGCCCACAGATGGAGTACGGATCAAGCAATTGATCAGAGGGGGATTTCAGGGATCTCTTTGCTGGCACTGAGGCAGGATTCTCTTCCTTTTCCCGTAACTGGATCTGGGTCACAGTTCTGGGTGGTGGTCCTGGGACTAGGAGAAACTCTGGTATGGTGGAGCTTGTGGTGGCAAAGGAGAGAAAATCCTCTTCACAGTTACAAGGCAGAAAAGAGTGCTTGTAATGACTCATAGACCACAGCACAGCCCGGAAAGGAATGAACACCTCGCCCTTGATCATACCACCTTGGAAGAACTGAAAATTTACAGGTCCCTAGAAGTATATCTGAAAACAGTTGCACAAAACCCCTGAAGCTTGGGACAGTACATTTTCCACTTTGGAAGCAGAATCCTATCTTAACAAAGAGTTTAAAACTAATGTATTTGGCTGGGAACATAAGCACAAAAAAGTCAGACCATAGAATCTTAATTTGGTGACAAAGAAGATCAAAACATGCAACCAGAAGAAGACAACAAAGTTAAAGCTCCTACATCCAAAGCCACCAAGAAAAATATGAATCAGTCCCAGGCCATGGAAGAACTTCAAAAGGATTTTGAGAAGCAAATAAGGGAAGTAGAGGAAAAACTGGGAAGAGAAATGAGAGTGATGCAAGAAAATCATGACAAACAAGTCAACAGATTGCTAAAGGAGACTCAAAAAATACTGAAGAAAATAACACCTTAAAAAATAGACTAGCTCAAATGGCCACAGAGGTCCAAAATTCCAGTGAGGAGAAGAATGCCTTCAAAAGCAGACTTGAGGGGCAGATAGGTGGTGCAGTGGATAAAGCACTGGCCCAGGATTCAGGAGGACCTGAACTCAAATCTGGCCTCAGACACAAAACACTTACTAACTGTGTGACCCTAGGCAAGTCACTTAACCCTATTGCCTAGCCAAAAAAAAAAAAAAGCATAATTGGCCAAATGGAAAAAGAAGTCCAAAGTCTCACTGAAGAAAATACTGCCTTAAAAATTAGAATGGAGCAAATGGAAGCTAATGACACCATGAGAAATCAAGAAATTATAAAACAAAACTAAAAGAATGAAAAAATTGAAATGTCTCATTGGAAAAAATTACTGACCTGGAAAATAGATATAGGACAGATAATTTAAAAATTATTAGACTACCTGAAAGCCATGATCAAAAAAAGAGCCTACACATCACCTTTCAAGAAATTATCAAGTAAAACTGATATTCTAGAACCAGAGGGTAAAATAGAAATGGAAAGAATCCACTGATCACCTCCTGAAAGAGATCCCCAAAGGAAAACCCCTAGGAATATTATGACCAAATTCCAGAGTTCTCAGGTCAAGGAAAAAATATTGGAAGCAGCCAGAAAGAAACAATTCAAGTATTGTGGAAACATAATCAGAATAACTCAAGATCTAGCAGCTTCTACATTAAGGGACCAGATGGCTTGGAATATGATATTCCAGAGGGCAAAGGAGTTAAGATTAAAATGAAGAATTACCTACCCAGCAAAACTAAGTATAATCCTTCAGGGGAAAAACTGGACATAGTGAAAGAGAGAACTTCCAAGCATTCTTGATGAAAAGACCAGAGCTGAATAGAAAATTTGTCTTTCAGATACAAGACTCAAGAAAAGCATGAAAAAGTAAACAGGAAAGAGACATCATAAGGGACTTATTAAAATTGAACTGTTTACATTCCTACTTGGAAAGACGATATTTATAACTTGTGAGATCTTTGTCAGTATTAGGGTAGTTGGAGGGAAGATAGACAGACAGACAGATAGATAGATAGATAGATAGATAGATAGATAGATAGATAGATAGACAGACAGATAGATGATGGCACAGGATGAGTTGAGAATGAAGGGGTGATATCTAAAAATAAAATTAAGGGATGAGAGAGGATTATACTGGGAGAAGGAGAAAGGAAAGGTAGAATGGGGTAAATTATCTTACATAAAACAGACAAGAAAAAGCTTTACAGTAGAGGGGAAGTATGGGAAGGTGAGAGGGAGTGAGTGAATCTTATTCTCATCACATTTGGCTTAAGGAGGGAATAACATACACACTCAACTGGGTATGGAAAACTATCTTACCCTACAGGAAAATAGGGGGATGGGGATAAGAGAGTGGGAGGATGATAGAGAGGAAGGCACATTGGGGGAAGGGCTAATTAGTAGCAAACATTTCTGAGGAGGAACAGGGTCAAAAGAGAGACTATAATAAACAGGGGGGTGGGATAAGATGAAGGGAAATAGAGTTACTTTTTCACAACATGACTACTATGGAAGTGTTTTGCATGAGTACACATGTATAAACTGTATCAAGTTGCTTGCCTTCTCATTGAGGGTGGGTGGGAGGGAGGAAGGGAGAGAATTTAGAAGTCAAAGTTTTAAAAACAAATGTTAAAAATTATTTTTACATGCAACTGGGAAATAAGATATACAGGCAATGGGGCATAGAAATCTATCCTTCCCTACAGGAAAATAGAAGGGGAAGGGGATAAGAGAAGGGGAGGGTGATAGAAGGAAGGGCAGATTAGGAGAAGGGGTATTCAGAATGCATTCCATCTTGGGGTGGGGGAGGGGTGAGATAGGAAGAAAATTTGGAACTCAAAAGTTTGTGGAAGTGAATGTTGAAAATTAAAAATGAATTAATTAATAAAAAGAATAATTTTTTTTA